GCCCCTTGGCATGAACGACTTGCGAAGTTCTCTTGTTCTACAAGAATTGGATTTTATATTCAAAATTGCTGGAAACCGGGTCCAGCGTCCGTTACGTCAGCTGTACTCACTCATCGCTTCTCTTTGTTACGGTCGAGAGATCCTGAGACAACGGCATTGATTCCTCGTAATTGGGAGGATGTACGACTGCTCTACACCGGCTTTTCAATTTGACTGTGTTCGCTGTCTCTTACTGGATCCTGACAGCATTGCTTCCTTGCCTTTGGAAACATTAACTGTAAGATGTTAGCTTGAGCTTCTTTTTTTTTTTTTTTTTAATTCTGACCTATTACTTTGTTTCTAGCTGTTTCAAAAATCCATCTAGTAGGAAAAAGTAACCTCATCTGCTAACGCTTTCCTATCAGATCTTTAAAGTTGACCGTCAGAAGGCCTCTTTTGAAATTATATTTTGCTTGACACTGGATAGTCGCTCCAGTGCCGTGGTGGCTCTAACATTCTTGCCTTTCTTTATCCAAAGGAGGGTGGAGTAGCTCAGTGGTTAGAGCACCGGTTTGAAATGCGCATTGTGGTATAAGGTTGCGGGTTCAAAACTTCGCAACCTTGCACATTGACACCAGCAGGGCGTTAGAGTGAGGCACGGCTGGACACACACCCCCTTGGGATGACGCAGGTTACCTATACAGACACTGCCTGTGCACCACCCAAGGGGTAGCTCATGGGTGTTGTATGTTGGGACTGGGCGGTGGTGGGGTATCCTGATGTTCTTGGTCTATGGGGTGATCACAAGACTGCTGGGTGGTTTGTACAGTCTGGTTTACTCGAGCCCAGCAGACCACAGCTACACACTATTTCACAGTATATGTCAATAGGTTAGGTCATTTGCACAATTCACATGAGGTCCTGTGTTCGATACCAGATTATGACTGAGGGCTGGTCATCCTCCTAGTATGTAGTCAAGGGTTGAGGCTGGTATAGCAGTTCCTTAGTATGGGATGTCGGGGGTGTCAGGAGATACTGCACTTTACCGCGGGGCCGGAACGGGCTCCAGGGACATACGAGGGAACGGAGGATCCCTAGCTCTCTCTACCATCAACACAATAGAATAGTAGATTCTCCAGTCCAAGATTCACGACTTAGGGTTGGCTATCCTCCTAGTACATACCTGAGGGTTGAGGCTGGCATAGCAGTGCCTTAGTACGGGATTCCGGGGGTGTCAGGAGATACTGCACCTTACCGCGGGGCCAGAACGGGCTCCAGGGACACACGAGGGAATGGAGGATTCCCAGCTCTCTATCATCACCACACAACTGTGCTAGATGGGAGTCACTGTGCACCCTTATGAAGACCTGTAGTAGCATGTTCATACCTAGCTCCCAAAGTCCCCGTGCAATCGGACTTGCACGGCGTCAGCTTCAACCTGGGCTGAGCAGGGGGTAGGGGTCTCTGCTTAGCCCGGGTGCCTGCAACCACTGTCTAGTCAGGTCACCCTGCCAAGATGGTGGTGGGTGATGGTCCTGGGTGGTTAACACTAGGGTAGGATGGGGTGTGGGGGTGCGCCAGGGCAAAAAAAAAAAGATGAGAGGAAGGGTGGGTGGGGTCTTCAGAGGGGTTCATTGGGGCAACCGAGTGGCCAAGTACTGTGGGTGACTTCCATCTGTCTGGTATCCCACCTCTACAACAGAAAAAAAAAAAAAAAGGAAGGTGGAGTTGCCTCTCTTGTCCTCTGTAAAAGGTGGAGTGTAGCTCCTCTCATCGTGTCTACAACTGTCGGTTTTCTGTGTGATACCCAAGAGCTGTATAGTCACTCTCTCAGCTATGTTTGTCTGACTGAGTGTCTTTTGTGATCTGTTTCTTTGTAGAAGTCTAATGGGTACTTTCTAGGGTCTCACTAGTTTGGTCTTCCTGTAGATGTTTTTTTCCTTCTATCTTCTACTTTTGGTTGGGTTCTCTTTGCCTTAGTGTCCCAGGTGTCTGAGTCCTGTAGATGGGTGTTCTCTTCCTGTTGGATGAGGAGTGCTGATGTGATCAGACTCTTCAGCGGCATCTGGCGAGAGGAGAGTGGACAGGGAGACTGTGAGAGGTAGTAGGCTGCGGTGTGTACGCGAGTAGGGAATCAGTATAGGTGGGCACGTCGTAGGTATGGATAGCTGGGGAGAGGATTGTGGAAGCAGGAACTGACGGATACCTGGTTGTTGGACTAAGAATGCTCATGTGATCAGACTGTTCAGTGGCACCTGGCGAGAGGAGAGTGGAAAGAGAGAGTGAACGGTAGTAGGCTAGAGTGTGTTGGTAAATAGGGACGCACTATATGCCGACACATCATAGCTAGGGCTACTACTGTGTTGCTGTATTGATTGTTGGACAGAGGGCTTTCGTTGTCAAGAGTTTGAGTGTGTACTTGATTGGTGTGCTCTCGGCTTTACTCATGTTTGGTCTTCACTGAGCTCTTGCATCTCAAAATTTTGTGTTCTCTCTTGCTGGTTCATTGCATACTTCCCTTTTATTCCCATTGCCCCGGACTCAGTCATGGATCTTCGTTCCACCCTGCCTTTTCTTTTCTTCTTTTTAAAGGGGGGAATTGTATAAACCTCTGGAAAATGGCTTCATCGTCCTTTGTGCACTGCCTTAGCAGCCATGCTTTTTCCTCTTTTTGCTGAGATCCAATGCGCCTTTATACGTCTGTTAAAGCTTCCCTGCCCATGTCCAATCACCCCTGGGATTTCTATGCGGCCATTGTCAGAATGTCTGTCTGATGCCTCTCTGTGTGTGCCTATTGGTCAGGAAGAAATTTTGGCTCTCTGGTTCTGAGACCCAATCTTGTTTCCGTCCTCTTCTATGTTTTTGAATTCAGGGCCTTTCTATTCTGGGAGTGCTGATCCCGTTCCTTTTCAACCCGCAAGTGATATCTGATACATTGAGCAGTAAGTTCTCTGACCTATCCTACTATTATCTACTTGCTGCCCTAATTATTTCTTATGGGAAGTTATGGGGAATGGGGTGAAAAATGCTCCGGAGTCGCCTGAAGGTAATCTCTTTTCAATCTGTTCCATCCTAGTTTTTCTTTCATTTCTGTAGTTTTGTTTTTATGGTAATAAACACTACTCTCTCTCTCTCTCTCTCTCTCTCTCTCTCTCTCTCTCTATATATATATATATATATATATATATATATATATATATATATATATCACACACACNCTCTCTCTCTCTCTCTCTCTCTCTCTCTCTCTCTCTCTCTCTCTCTCTCTCTCTCTCTCTCTCTCTCTCTCTCTTGCGTGCGCGCGCGCGCGTCCACTTACACACATGCAGGTGCCGGAGCTCCTCATGTCGTACGACCCTCCCGTCCATGCCTGTTGTTCTTCTGGAGGAGTGGGCTTAACATGTTAGCATGGTAGCATAGTTCGGACTCAGGAGTTCGTTGTGTGTGCTTTTGTTGAATGTTTTTTGGAGAATGGTCACGTTTACAATTTGTGAGTTTTGATGTCAAGTGAGGTTGGTTCTTTTTTTATGCAAATGTTGCAGATCTTAAACCACGAGTACATCTGCCAGTGTTGGGACATTACGTCAAAACGCCCGTTCCCAAAGAATTTCGCGGGTGGGACCTAGGATTTTAAGTCCCATAAATCTTAGTTATATATTGCCCGCATGTGAATGGAAAAAAAAAAAAAAAAGCTTTCTCTACTGCAATGATGCTGGGCAGGGTAGTCTAGGAGGCCGTGCTCAGTCTCCCTCCGCAGAATGAATCCTACAGCTAACATGGTCACATTCTGAATGCTGTTGCTTTCTTTTTTGTCTCTCTCCTGCCTTTCATATAGTCCCTTGCCAATGAGGCAGGGCGGAATCCGTGATCTACTCAAGCTGTGTTTCCTGAGAAGATTGCAACGCTCATTAAACTGCCACTTAGAGGAACGTATCCTGCCATTTTCATGGCCGCATCTGTGTTTCCGGTTGTTTTTCTCTTCTTTTGTCTTTCTGGAATCTGACACAACCTGGCCACGGGGCTGAGATGCCCTCACCTAGGGCACACTCACACTACCACTTCCAAGAATGTATACAAGTGCAATCGTGGCCAAAACGGCCACAACTTTTCTTCTTCTTCTTCTTCTTTTGTTCTTTCCGTGAGAGTACCAGAAAGAAAATGGAGTTGGACCCAGGTTCGGCAAAACTCGGAGCGCTGTGAAATTCAGGCTCGGCAAAAACAGGCTCGGAGGTACTAGTGGTTTAAACTTCAAACGTTAAAGTTCGGTATATTACAGTTAAATAACTGAACAATAATTGATATTTATCAATAGAGACAAATGTTGATAGCGCTTTCTTTGTTTTTTTTTCTTTCTATGGCACATTGCTGTTATTGATTTGTTGGTTCCATTTGGCGCTTTGTGTTTGTGATGGTCTGGCTGTTTAATCACGATCAGCGGTTCTTGGTCAGATTCCAAACACAAAGATCTTCCGGAATGTGCTGCAGTACCCGAACGCAACAACGAGAGCAGGCGTCCTCCTTGCTCGAGTGGACTCGAGTATTTACTTCTTTAATTGCCAGTACATCATTGAGAGGTAAAAGAGAAAAAAGATTAAAAAACAAATAGCTTGCCAAACAGTTTTTGCACTTTGTAAATCGTTTACGTATTTGCAGGCCCATGCTCAGTGAAGACGTTGTTTGCTTTTATGTTTTATAGAGCAGTTCTATCTCTGCTTTGGCGAACTCACAATGGTTCCAGGTGTGCATTTGTGCGTTTTTACAGTATTATACATCTGCGAATTTTCTTCTTCGAATCTGTAGAACTGAATGAACCCCCCCCTGCTGCAACACCTGTAGAATCAGATGATATCATAGTGCTACAGCGCGGCCGCTGTCCGTACTATGCCATCAATGTATCCCTCCTTGCTTGCAATTGCGATCCTTATACTGTATCTGATTTTGAAGACAATGTCCGCTGGATAGAAGAAGAGCACCGTGCTATCTGCCCGGATGACGACGGTACAGCACCTGGAGTGAACGTAGAAGTTCTCTCTATGGCATTTCTGGGGCAGGCGACTACACTTACAGCCCGCACCGCATAATCACGCGCCAGGCATGGATCCGAATATCCGTGCATACATTCTACATCGTCCAAGTCATTTCAGGGCTGTCACTTTTGCAGATAATTCATGGACTCTATGGGACAATGGCATTAGAGTGCACACATTAGGGAACATCAACACTTTCTATCATCAAGCGGTAGAACATCACTTGGTCTGGCTCGCCCATCAAGAACACTATGTCGATGTGTACCCGCAAGTTCTACAGCTGCTGGAGAGCAATCCGGCTGAACCGCCTCGTTCCCTTGTGCATGGCCAGGCAGAGAGCCTTCCCTGTGTAGATCGGACGGATTCTGCTACGGACGGTGAAGGGGCCTCCTCACAGGACGATGACTGTGCCATACCATTCTGTTGTCACAGAACTACAGCTCGGTTGGCATGCACACGGCATGGTCTATGCTCCAAACATTATGAAGGGACGGCCGCTGCCAGCCTCTGCCACAAAAAAAACTGTGATCCTTCGTCTTTGTGCTCATCCTTCCCATCCCCTAATTGTCTGCCCAGCATGCCGTCGTGGCCTCGACATGCCATGTCTAAATAGGTGTGATCGGCAGTCTGCTTTCCTGCTGACATGTCAGCAACATGCTATGTGTCATCAATGTTTCCAGGAAGCTGTCATAGAAAGTATGTGTCTCTATTGCCTGGACTATCCCCAATGCCATCATCCGTTGCATCCTCTCCTAGCATGTCCCGCATGCACACCGTTGGGCGCTTGCCAGACGAACGACAGACGCAGCAGCCTGAGGTGGGTAACAGACTACCATATGAACCACCTACAGAGCGGTGTACTGAAAAGATATCTCCACCGGGACAAGCTGTTACGGATCAAATTCTGCAGCAACTAAGCATCCTTGCCATGGATCAATCCCCACCGTCGTCAGCCCATAGAGAGGGAACAAATACTACGGAAACTTGTGAAACCTGCTCAATGCCTCTCTGTGATGACTTGCCGTGAGGATTATGAAGCAATAGCCCCTCCGAGTTTTCTGTTTTCATACGTATCATGACAGTCGGTACTGCACTCATGTACGACACCCTCACATGTCGTGTCCAATACGCAGAGAGGGGCTGGAATGACAATGTCTTTACAATTGCGGTCAACGTGCCTCCGTGTTCCTAGCACGTGGGAGCCATGCGGGGTCTGTGACATCTGTATATGCCGAGCCATTTGATGCAGCAACTGCGACTGCGAGAATTGGATGCGGTGTTTCCACTGTCCACACCGCTCCTCTCCGGTCTGTAAGGGTGACAACTTACCATAGGCAATGGTGGCTCCTCAACTCAAAATCTTACGCAACCCAAACACTAGCTGGCCTCATATGCCATTCATTGTAAAGTATTCTGCTCCGGCGACTAGTGTTAGAATCAAGGTGAAGTTCATCACATCTCTATCCTCTCCTTGGCACTCCGCTTCTTCCCCTACCATTTCTCCCTCCTCAGCCCTATGTGTTACTACCAATAGGAATGAGCATCATTAAGAGAACAGAAATTATGAGCTGAAGATATGAAATGAAATGAACAGGAGTATACCTTCCCCTTTACTCTGCCTCCTTTCATAACGTGCAAGTGGGCCGTTAATGCACACGGGGATGTGGGCAGCTGCCGCTCAACCACAATCAACGTGGAGAGCCTTGTGCAATAGAGGCACAGTAAAAGCGGAGCTGCAAAAATGGAAGGCGTACCCCAAGGATAACCAAAAAGTTGTCTAATTCTAAAATTGCTTTTAAATGTTGGACTGTCTCATCTTAAGTGCTTTCATTGTCTGCAATGGGACAAAACTGCTTTGATTCTGAATCTATTCATCAGGGTGGAATTGGGGCTGTTGTGGGGAGAATCTACAACACACACACACACACACACACACACACACACACACACACACACACACACACACACACACACACACACACACACACACACACTTGCATTCACAGACAAGAACCATGGCACAAGGGAACACCATTGACATCCTCATCCCATGTTGCTCGCTATAGAGGTAAAACTGTTTCATTGTTGGATTGGCTCATCTCAGGCGTGCTTCATTGTCTGCAATGGAGCTGCAGTTGTTTTGATTCTGAATCTATTCACCTGGGTGGAATTGGGGCTGTTGTGCTGAAAATCTAAAACACACACACACACACACACACACACACACACACACACACACACACACACACACACACACACACACACACACTCCTCTTCTTCTTCCGCCTTCTCCTCCTCCTCATTCTCAACGTCACATGCCTCCCTTCATCATCGACCTCATCATCAGCACATTCATGGTCATATCAGCTGCCAGAGGCCCCATCGGCCGAGACACCCAGCATCGGTTCGATCGTTACAGATTCCTCTTCGGCGGAGACGTTCCCCGTCCGCCACCGCCTCCAAGACAGAGGCCTCGTCTGTCGTGGAACAGCATGAATACCACAACCCCTGCAGGGGTTAGAGATCTGCTCCGACGACATGCTCGCAACCTTACAGCACGACATCGTCTCTCTCGATATACACTAGCCAGGTGTAGCATATATCGAGTCCAATCATCTCCAATGCCCACAATATGGCAATGATTTCTTCAGTGCTGCAGGCCTGCATGTGCACCAGACACGAGGTGCAGCTTCCTGAGCATTTGCACGACTAGCAGCCACTTTGAGCACAAGTGCGACCGATCAACCTCCGCTTCCCGCATCTGACCCATCTATTCCTCATCCACCTGACCCTGCATGCTCCCCTGCCTCAAATGATAATGCCCCACATTTTGATCACCTGATGGAGCCTCCGATTCCAAAAGATCTCTCTCTCCGGAGCGCATAATACAGCCGGAGGAACGTGACAGAAATGTTCAAGACTGCAATGAATCTTCGCCTGCCGTGCAATCTGGAGAATTGGACGAACCTCCCCCTGCTGCACAACCTGCAGAATTGGATGATGTCATAGTGATGCAGCGGGGACGCTGTGCATACTATGCCATTAATGTGTCTCCTTGCCTACACTTGCAAGCCTTGTATTGTTTCTGATTTGCAGACCTTGTCCGCTGGATAGAAGAAGAGCACCGTGCCATCTGCCCCAAGGACAACAGTACTGCACCTGGCGTGAACATGGAATTCCTGTCTATGGCATTTATGGGTAGGTCACTACAACTCCAGCCTACTCCGCAAAATCATGTGCCAGGCATGGATCCGAATATTCGGGCATGCATCTTACATCGTCCAGGTCATTTCAGTGATCTTACCTTCGCGGATAACTCATGGACCCTATGGGACAATGGCGGTAGGGCGCACGCAACGAGAAATATCAACTCTTTCGATCACCAAGCGGTAGAACATCACTCAGTCTGGCTCGTACATCAGGAACAGTATGGCGATGAGCACTCGCAAGCACTACTGCCTCCGGAGAGCAATCTGGCTGAACCTCCTTCTTCCCCTGTGCATGGTCATGCAGCATCCCCTCCCTGTACTGATTGGACGGATTCTACCACGAACAGTGAAGGGACCTCTCCAGGGGATGGAGATTGCGCCCTCCTCCCATTGTGTCATCGCACAGGTACAGTCCAGTTAGCATGCGCACGGCATAGCCTCTGCTCCGAACACGATGAAGGTCTGGTCTCTGCCAGCCTCTGCCACGAAAACCTTAATCCTTTGTCTTGAACTCACCCCCACCACCCCTTGATAACTTGCCCAGCATGCCGTTGTGGCCTTGATCTGCCATGCTTGAATAATTGCGGACGTCAGCCTTCTTTTCTGATGACATGTCAGCAACATGCCAGGTGCCGTCATTGTTTCCAGGAAGCTGTCATAGAAAGTATGTGTCTCTACGGCATTGACTATCCTCGGTGCCATCATCCGCCACATCCTCTCCTAGCATGTCCCATATGAGGTGTTGGTCATACACCTACTGCAACCGCAGTCGGAATTCCTTCTTCCTTGCCTGACAAACGACGGGCACAGCAGCCTGAGGAGGAAAATAGATTACCATATGAACCACCTACAGAGCGCTGTACTGATAGGTTGTCTCCACCAGGGTGAGCTGTTGCAGACTAAATCCTGCAGCATCTGAACGCGCCCTTGCTTTGGATCAAACTCCCGCATCACCGTCTACCCATAGAGAAGGAATAAATACTGAGGAAACCCAAGAAACTTGCTCCATGCCGGTTTGTGATGACCCACCGGAGATTCAGCTAGCATGTGGTTCGCATGCCTTATGCCATGAGGATTATGAAGGGATAGCCCGGGTGAGCTTTTGTCTCCAAATGTATGATGACAGTCTATACTGCACTCATGTACGGCACCTTGACATGTCATGTCCAATTTGTAGACGGAGGCTGGAACGGCAGTGCCTCCTACAATTGCGGTCAACATGCCTCTGTGTTCCTAGCATGTAGGAGCCATGTAGCCTGTGACATCTGTCTACGCTGTGTCATTCGATGCAGTAACTGTGGCTGTGAATATTGGATGCGGTGCTTCCACAGGCCGCACCCAAGCCGGTCCTGCCCAGTCTGTAGAGGTGGCCACTTACCATAGGCAACAACTGCCCCTCAAATCTTTATGCAACCCATGCACTGTCTGGCCTCATGTGCCATTCTAGAGTGGTCTGCCCCAGCGGTCACTAGTTAGAACCCTGTCAGAACTCCACCTCCCGTTTCCTTCCTCTGAAAGGCATTTCACAATGTAGACCCCAAATTCGAATCCCAGGGTCAAAATCCCTAGTCCGAGAGAGGCCAGGTCGGCCAGTTTCAGAAAGGCTACATCGGGTACCCCCCAGAGGTCAAGTCCAACAGGTACCCGGTCAACAGTCACATCCCAGAGCAGAAGTCACATCCCGTAAGTAAAAGTCACGTCTCGTAGTCAAAAGTCGTGTCCCACAGGCATAAGTCAAAGGTCGTGTCTCACAACCAAAGCTCATATCCAACAGGCAAGGGTCACGACTCACAGTCAAGGGTCACGTTTGACAGTCCCAAAGCAGCAGCACACCAAGGGGAACTCAGGGAGGTACCAGGCCTCAATATTCTGAAACAAACAGGCCGTGGGCATGTGGTAGGAAGCAGAGGCTGGGACGAGTAAGGGCTCAGTCCAAGTCAATATAAGGACTGGGCAGCCTCATTTCGGACAGATTGCTCATTCGCAAGAAGCCTGAAAGTGAGGCGCTTGTGCGCTATCTGCGAGTGGCTAGCGCTGGAGCCCTGCTGGGCAGCGCTGTGCTGAGGAAGGGAGGCAGCCATAGCAGCATAGCTAGTAGTAGGAGATAGAGCTGAGTCGTAGCGGATGTATCCACAGTCAAGATCTTCAAGTGGAGAGAGAGGGCCGAGAGGGCATGTGCCTGGTTCTTGATGGTGATTTATCTGAGCAACATCTGCATGTTCTCTGTTTCCTGCTTCTGAGTTCTTCTCCGGGTTGCAACATGATCATTATAGTCTTGTCATATAGGACTATACCAGAGTTTATAGTCCTATAAGTGATATAGGACTATATTGGAGTTGTGTGGCAGTAGCCTGGGCGCTGAGCGCCGAGTAGGGAGAATACACACCTGTCTCTTATACACATCTAGATGTGTATAAGAGACAGCCCAGGTAGGGTTTGTGCTGCGCTTTCCTCCCGTGGTCTCAGGGTGCCGCTGCAAGTGCTTCTTCCCTGCGCTCATGCGCTCAAGCTGCCTGGCTGCTTCTTCCGGATTGGAATTTCTGTAGAATGCCCGACCTATTCTGCTATGTTCCGGCTGGGATATTGAAAGGCCGATAGTCACTGGCTGCCAGCAACAGGGGAACCGGTCGTTGAGTCCCAACCTCAACTTGGCCTGGGCCTACCTTTCGGAAACTGCTTGCGCCCTTGGCCTTCGCTGAGGGCCAAACCTTCCCCAGCCTCCCTTGGGAGGATCTTGGCCTCATCTATCACACCGACTTTTGTGGCACAGCGCACTGCAGATGCCCCATACACCCGTGTTATAAGTATGATGGAAACTCCTTTTTTTTTTTTTTTTTAATGTATCGTTCATTCCTAGAGGGCAGGGCTCTGTTCTTTTCTGGGGAGCATTTGGTCTGGTGACTGAGGTCGCTTTTCCACCAGCAGTGGCAGCAGGTCGGAGTATTTACAAATGCGATTGCTGGATCATCCACCATAATCAATTAAATTTGAATTAATTGATTCTTTCGTTTTGGCATGTTCCCCCCCCCCCAAAAAAAAGACACAAGGCCCCTTCTATTCTGGGGGCATCAGTCCGGTTGCTTATTACCGGCAAGCAATGCCTGCTACGAGTCGACCCACCCCCCAAGCCCTGTCCTTCCCTCAAGGGGTGCTTCTGCTGGCCGGGAAGCTTACTGGCAGCGCCCAGTCAAGCAGCAGAAGGATCCCAAGGGAGGCAGGGTGCGGGGGGGGGCGGCGCTCGTAGCAGTCTCTTAGGCTGCATGTACCGTCCCAATCTTCCCAAAGCCTTGTTACTCAAGCCGTCCTTCTACATTGTCTATGCCTACCCTACAACATCCCTTTACTTGCCTGTCCATCTCCTTTATTTCTCTCACCTTGCCTCCCCACATCTTACGCCTCCCCCCACCTTTGCTTCATCGCCTATCCTAACTCTACGCTCCCCTATCCCGTTCGACTCCACTCTGTTCTCATATCCGGCTTTTCAAAGGTTCAACCCAGCTTTTCCCAATTTTCCCGTGTTGATCCTTTCTTTCTTTCTTTATCACTTTTTTCTCCTCCGTACATCTGTCGCCCCTATTTGTACCCATGTAGCCCCCCTTCATTCCTATTTTACACCAATTTTGCAGCTATTCTGCAACTATTCTACACCTGCAGCACCTTAGCATGGAACTTGAACTTAACAAAAAAAAAAAAAAGGCATGGAACTTGAACTAGCGTATCATCCTCCCTGTTCGGGCTCCCTTTCCGGCCGAGGCACATGGCCGAACGAACTGGGCCAAACTGCATCTGACCCATTTATGGGTCCCGGCCCCCGGTGGTCAGCAATTGTGGATGATTCTTTTTTTTTTTTTTTGTTTAAGATATTGGACTATTCCTCGATTTATGCGTGTCATCCTTGAAAGCGCAGGGGCCATGCTAATCTTCCTTCTCTGTATCGTTCCAATTTTAACGGATGTCCCGAAGGACATTTTGCGGATGATTCTTTTTTTTTTTTCTTTCTCTTTCTGTATTTGGTCCAGTGGACCACGGATCAGATATTGAACTTTAATTTATAATTAAACTGATCAGAACAGATACTACACTTGATCTTACTTAGCCGAAAGACTGATTAATTCTATAGAATCTATACATACGTAAACTTTTTTTTGTTCTTTTGGTTAAAAGTTTTGGCAATTGCGATACATTCCTTGGTCATGTGAGTCCTTTCTGCCATTGCTCTTTTGAAACATTTACTTTGTGAATGTGCTACGAGGGAACGGAAAGGACTTATCTGAGGGCATACTCACATGAGGACTTTCCTGGATGCATCTGACCGGAATCACAGCCTGTCCATGATATATCTGACCGCAATTTCGTCCGGAGCTTAGTCGGAAAGGTCCTAGTGTGTGTATGCTCTTAGATCGAAAAGAAAACAGAAATGTATGTTTGTTAAATTTGCTTTGTGAATGTGCTCTACCTCCGCGAACAGGAAGAAACCATCTGAACGAAAAACAAAGCGTTTGCTTTTGTGAAATAATGTGGTCCCCACAGACAAAATGGAGCCATCTCACACGGCGGGGGGAAGAATAAAAAAAAATAAAAATACATTTTCTTTGTGCATTTTCTCTTGGTGCATCATCCGTGTGAGAACACAGAGGCATGCGGAGTGTTTTGTGCTCACAGCAAGGTAACCACGTGATAACCTCCGGTTTGTGTGAACAGGTTCATTCTCTCGGTCGGCTGTCAATCAAACAGCAGGAGCAAAGACAACTGTGTCTAATATCGTTATGGCCACCGTTATCTTGTTCACACTTAGCTTTATCACGCCGTTGTTTGTTAACATTCCTCAGGTACGCTCAGCGTCAATTCAATCCCAAATGTTGCGTATCCAAAAGAAGTATGATTGGATGAGGAAGCCGCAAAGTATCTGAAGTGAACTAAAGTAAGATGCGATTTGATTTGTAGTAGATGGGAAAAAAACAGGCCCGGATCTTATCTTCACTGGCGATGTGTTTGATGGAGTGGAAAGAAAGGTACTAAGTTCAACAAACTGGCCAGAAATCCCAGGGACAAGGAAATACATGTCTAGGGTGTAGGGTTTAGGGTTTGGGGTAGGGGTTAGGGGTTAGGGTTTTGGGGTTAGGGTATAGGGTCTAGGGTTCAGGGTTTGGGGTTAGGGTATAGGGTCTAGGGGTAGGGGCTAGGGGTTAGGGTATAGGGGTTAGGGTCGGAGATAGCTCTAAATGTAATAATAATATTATAATATTATGGTTTATGTGAAGTGAACCACCTGGCCAGCTATCCCTGGGACAAGGAAATACTTGTCGAGGGTTTGGGGTTTGGGGTTAGGTATTAGGGTATAGGGTATAGGGTTGGAGGTTTGGGGTTAGGGATTAGGCTTAGGGTATATGGTTCAGCGTTAGGGGTTAGGGTTTAGGGGGTTCAAAATTCAGCCGATCTTCAGACAAATTGTGCAACAGCACAACCCTTCTGTCAATACTCCTCTGGTACATGGAGACGGGCAATTCTCTTTTTTTTTTTTTGTCTTTTTCTTTGTTACGGAGTTTCAAATCGATCCCCATTTCCGCATTGTTTTGTGTCAAAAGGACAATCCCCTTGTGAAAGTGAACCGACCGGCCAGAACTCCCTTGAGCTAGGAGACGATTGTCAATCGAACAATCAAGTCGATACAGGCAAATGGAGCTGCAGCACACCATTGTTGAAGTTTGTTTGTCAGTAGTACATGATGTACTACACGGGTATTCTAGCCTTTGATTGAATCGGAATAATCCTCATTGTTTTCTGTCCCAAGTATAATTGCTTTCCAAAGAGGACCAGCTGTTTTCCTTTCTGTGGAAAGAATCGTCTTCACCCGAATAGAACCCGCCCGGTCATTAAAGCCGTATTTGGCACAACTTTCAGTCTAGATACAGCGGTAATGACTGGGTGTCGTATTCGGGCGAAGACAGTAGGTGGTGTTACGAAGGCAATAAACTTGAATAAAGTACTAAGAATCGAGACCATTCCGGCGGCTTGAATAAACTTGAATAAAGTACTAATAATCGACCCATTCCAGCGGCTTGAATAAACTTGAACAAAGTACTAATAATCGAGACCATTCCGGCGGCTTGAATATAGCCATCAAGCACACCTCCGGTCAAGTGCATATCGCGAATTTGTTGGGAGATTCTGGAAAGCGAAGTAGCTGTGAGCTTTTAGCACCTCTGCGACGGCTAAGGACGTAGAGGTGGCGAGTTTTGAAGCAGCCCTGCGATTGTTAAGGAAGAATCCTAAGGAGTCATGACTTATCAATTGTTGTCCGCCCCCCGGAGTTGGGGGCAATGCAAAAGTTATAATGAATTAAAAGTTGGAAAAAGTTAAACTGGGTGATTGACATGGATTGTAGATGTCTTTTCAGTTTTGTTCTTTTTCTTTTGGTCCTTCTTTGGTACAACGAGAATGAAACGCGATGTCATTGTCTGACTATTGGCCAACTGATATGGTGGTCGTTTTTTCAGAGGTTACGCAAAATCTTTTTTCGAAATAGGGTTTAATAAACAAATACTTGAAATACAATGATTCGTACTATTTCTTAATTAAATATTTTTTTCTTTTCTTTTCTTTTCTTTTATTTTCTTTTGAATTAAATTTAGACAATTTCTCTAGGCTACCAGAGTGGCCCGGGACCACTTGCCTGGCCGGGCAAAAACAAAATAAATAAATAAATATTAAATAATAAATACTAAATAAATAAATACCGTTGATTAAACTTGATTGTGTTTTTTTTTTTAATTTGGTGAAGAATTTCGATGTGACCCTGAGGCAAATGTCGCTCAGTCTATTTTTCTGCATAACATAATTTTTTTCCCGATTTTTTTTTTTTATGTTTTTTTTTTTTTTTTTTTTTTCTGGGACCTTCTTTGGTCCTTGCACGGCCGGGCCGCCTGGGAAAACAAGGTGACCCGGGCGGCCCGGCTGGTAGCCTAACAATTTCTCGATTTATGAATGTCATCCTTGTATTAATTATTTTTATATAATCATAGGATGTCCAATTTGACTGTCGGTGAACTTGGATTGTGGCCGTATGTTTCCAGTGTGTTTTGTCAGCCATTATCATTCAAGCTGTCCTTAGCTTGGTAAGTATCGACGGTCCCAATGCACCTGCAGAAGCAAGCACCCTTTTCTTTTTTTCTTGTCTTTTATCGAGCCAACGTGTTTTTGATTGCTCTACTGAGGATGTACTCACACTAGCACTATCTTAAATGTATCGGCCCGGATTTACGACCTGACCTGTACGAGGCATCTGGCCGTAATTCCGTCCAGAAATAAGTAAAAAAGCGCTTTATGAGTCGACTATTCATCATGTTTTTTTGTAAGATTGTCTGTGTGGGGGTTGTGGGCCAACGATTATGGCCTCGCATGATGAATGTGGCCAACGATTATGGGCAGGTTCATGCTTTCCAAGCATGAACAGAGCCCTGGCGGAACTCGAACGCAGAGTAGTTTGCCCTTTATATACAAATGGAAGGTAACAACAACCAACAGTCTCACACATTCTCCAAAAAAAAAAATCTAGATGTGTATAAGAGACAGCTGTGTGTGTGTGCGTGCGTGTGTGTTTCTGGTGCTGACTCCTGAGACTTTGTGATTGGAGACGGTGGGGAAGTGTTTTTCTCTTTCCAGATACAAATGAATGATGCTAAACTCCACAGCATTGACAGATTGGCAGTGAGTGAATACACAGTGAACACTGAACTTAGTGAAGTTCTCAGCCCGGGAGCATTGCCATTGCCGCAAGAAGTACTAAGAAGCCCAGACCATTTGCCCAACAACCATGAAAGATATTGCGCTAGAGAGTGAGCTCACATGCCGGATTCCGTTGCGCGGAAGGCGCAGGAAGGCAAAAAGAAAATGCATTGGTTGCGCCGACGGGCTGAAAATCACACACTCTGGGCGCGGGAGGACATACTTCACGGCCAGATTCAGTTTAGAGAAGCAACTGAACGCGCCCAGTTGGGCCTCTTTTCTCCCTTCCCCGAACACCCCCTGCTACTTCGCCTCTGTACTAACATCTCCTGTGGTCCCCAAAGGATCGAAAGGTTGTGGTTTGGTCTTATAAGGAAGGAAACATTGTGGGTCATTTGGAAAGAAAGGTGCAGCATCACACTGGACGACACATGGAACAGCAGAGAGAAGGTGTGGGCCTCTACAAAAGACCAGCATCCTTCCTAGCCATGTGGGACGCTGGGGAAGCCAATGGGTGCCATAGCCATGTTGTGCGTTGAGCAAGAAGAGCAGCGCCATAACCAGATTGAAGTCTTAATCGCGTCCATCTTAGGGACGGCAATGCCTATGCGATTGCGATCAATCGCCTCTTGTCGAAGATTTGTTATCCATAGTGACATGTCGAACGGCGATTGATTGCAATCTGGCGTGTGAACTTTGTGCCTGAGGGAGACAAGCAGATGGTTCTAGAAGGGGAGATCCTTGGGGAAGAGGAAGTCCGTGGAGGAGTGAAGAGTAGCGCTAAGAGGACGCCGCTGAGGTACATGGAAGCAGCATGATACTATGCGGCATGGCAGTGGGCACAAAATACGATAGTGTAGAGGATAAGAGTAGTTGGTCCACCTGGGCTGCTGCAGAGACCAGCGAGGGCAGAGAGCTGTTATCGTTGTTGTAATTGATTGCTGGAGGCATGAAGGGGGCTTTCATTATCAACATAGTTCAACACATGTTATCATTGATTTCATTGGTTTGTCAATTCTGCTAATGACTTGTTGCCATCTGCATGCTTATTAGAGTTCATCATTTTCTAATTTTTTGGTCATGTAATTTGAGGTCCTCCGGAGTCGAGAGCAGGGTTCTTCGCATGCAAAAGAGTAACCACAGTCAGAAAAAGATAGAAAAAAAGTTAAGAGAGTTAGGGAGGGAAAAAAAAGGGCAACGAGTAATTATGAGAGAGTCAATCAATCAATCAATCAATCAATCAATCAATCAATCAATCAATCAATCAATCAATGAGCACTTCATGCTCCAATATTGCAAATTCTCTCATTACTGTCATGTTGGGAGTGGGGTTCAGAGTTGGGTTGGGTTCGAAGGGGGGTTATTCAGAGTCGGGCTTGGAGGGTGACAACTTGTACAGTGTTTACTCTGCATATGGAGTCATTTTATTGACTTTTGAGGGTTGGAAGTTGGGCTTGGACCCCTTGGGGGTTTACACTGCAGATTGACATGTGAAAATTTGTCATATTTGATCGGGCTGATGACATTTTGCAGGAAGCTGTGGCGATTGGAAGAACGTTTGCCATCAAGAACAACTACCACATCAATGGCTCGAGAGAGGTGATACACTCACTGTCAAACTCGGGTTAACGTAAAAGAGGAAGGATGATAGGCTTACGGAACCGGTACATGGCCAAACTCCTGTGAAACCACCACTGCCCCCGATGCTATTTTTTGACGAACCGACAACGTTTTTCCCAAGCCTGGCCCACCGAACCAAAACGATGGTGGGCCTGCTGCTGCTAGCAGGCCGCTGTCTGGAGAGTGAGTGGCACTTATGCAGTGCCAGCCAAACCCTAAAACCCAAAGGTGGTGGTCCATGGGGCGCCACATACCACCGGTACCTTAGTTGTCATTCTGGGTGCCAGGTTGATCTGGATCATCGAAACATGTCCTGATGTCAAAACCCGGTTCAGGACCGGTAGGGATCTCCGAACTTTTTGTTGACGTCGAAGCACCAGGTACATGGGCAGCTGGGCCGTGGTCCTGACACCTCAAATTCTTGAAGTGCGGAATGAAAACGCGACCGCCGATGCAATTTATCGATGGCAGGCCCCGCGTTTGGCGTTTCGGCCTCCGATTCGTTTTCTTGTGGCGACAAGTCTCCGACTGCAATGCTGGGGCCGTGTACTACCGTAGTGGTTTAAGCAAGGTCAATATCCCATTGGCAAAGAGGATTGTAGTAAGTGTCTGAATGTGGACGTGTTTGTGGACAGGTGCCAAAAATTGTGATTGATCTACTTTTCTGCACCTCTGCGTGGAACAAGTCCAGATTCAGACACTTCTTCCAATCCTCTTTGCAAGTGAGATCTGGCCCTAAGAAGGCCACATCTCTTTGCCACAAAGTATATAGTAAAAACAAAAAAACATCGACTCGCTGGGCCACTGAGCCAGACGGACGGCGGAGGCGAAACGAAGTGCCGTACCTTGTCCTCCTTTTTCTTTTTCTTTTGTAAAGATAGACTTTTATTCACGATGGCCAGCAAAAGATAGGGTGCAGCCTTCCCCCCCCCCCCCTGGACATGGCCAGCAAAAGGTACGTGTACCTCTTGTCCTCTTTTCTTTCTCTTCGCAGCCAGGTTGTTGTTTCTTTTTTGATGCCATGGACACGAGCAAGGGCCTCGCTCCACGACTCGCCCAATGTGCAAAATGAGAATGAATCTTCCGCTACAACATGGAAATGCACATTGACAGGTCATTGCCCGACAAGGGGCCAGAAGGAAGTCAGGACTCAATGAGCCATTGCCCGACAAGGGGCCAGAAGGAAGTCAGGACTCAATGAGCCAGGAAGACAACACCAGCACTCTTGAAATGGCTCACTTAATACATTGGAATCCCTGCAAAGTCAGGAGAGAGATGGATGTAGAGATGAGACCGGCTCCCGCCAGGCATATTAGCAACCTCAAGAAAGCTGAAACCTCAGATAGCGCAAGTGGATTCCCAACCACCCCAACCACCCCAACCACCCCAAATCCATCCATACACTGTTCTGCGCAATCAGAAAACTTCTCTGGATTCCTGGCACAGCATTATGTGGAAAATCACTGGACGCCTTTGAGTCGCAGTTTTGTCCTGTCAGCTAACTCCCCTCTTTGGATTTGGTCACAATTTTGGTGAGTGAAAATCCGCAAAGAAGTTTGAGTTTCTGTTTTTTAAGTTGAAGGTTGAGTTCTGCCATTCCCATTGCATCCTTCAACATCTCTTGCCTTTCTTTCCTTTTAGATGCGAGCTTCCTTGACACTACCGTCTTCACCTGAATAATATGGCTATAATGACCGAGCGGCGAGCGTTCTATTCGGGTGAAGACTCTAGGGCTCTCTTTCTCACTTAGGTCTTTGATAATTTTTTGGGAATCTGGTGAAGATGTCCTCTTGATTGCAGTTGTGTGGTTTGGGTAGGTAATCTTTTTCATTCGATTTGATAAGAGTTCACTCAACCTCACTGCTTAGTAGGGGGCGTTATTGAAGCGGTAGACGCCTTTGCCAGGATACGCAATTTTGAGTGAACCTGAGGGAAACAGTATGATTGCCTTGTGGTCTAGACCGGTATGGTAAGGGGAGCTTTGGAAATATTGCAGTCTTTCATAGCTCTAGCTCCAGTAGCGGTTTGTGAAGTAAGGAAGAAGACCAGACCATTCTTGAGAATGACTTCCTATATTTATGTGTAGTCTTTCAGAGACCTGCAAAGCGTTTGCTGTCTACATACGGCAGGCAGAATTGCTCGAGGACTCAAGGAAAAGGTTTTTCCTTGTGATGAATTGAGTCAACTGACTCAACTCTTGATTGTTTGAGATAAGGGAGGAGAAGTAGACTGCGTGTCGGCATTCTGTCGAAGGAGGGGTCCTGTACGGAAGTAGTTCTAAATTCTAATCCCCCATGATGATCATTGATCACGTGTTTGTTTATGATGATTAGGAATGTTATGAAATCAGAAATGAAAAAGTCAAATGTGTCAAAATTTCTCAAAAACAATCGGATTGTGGATCTGAGACATGCCTCCTCAATTCAGAAAAGCTCATTTTTTTGAAATAGTATGACTAAGTACAAAGGCACATTTTGGTAATCGTACGCCTGCTTCAGACTTTTAGACATATCTGTGCGGATTGTGAAATGATGAAATCAGCCATTGTTGTTGTTGATTTCGGAAGAACACGTCCTTCAAACGAGTGGAGAAAGATGGGGTACAGTTTATGTTTTGTACGGTAGAACTGGTACCGTCAAATAAGTACAGCTGACAGAAAGACAAGTACAGCAAGAAGAGGTCAATACCATTATTGTGTGCATGCCATTGACTTGTAATGTGAACTGGTGTCTTGTAATGTGTTTTTTTTGTTTTGGCTTACAAACAGATG